TCCAGATAGGCTTCCCAACAAAAACTACCAACCCTAGGAGGTATAGCTCTGCACCAAACCTCACCAACAGGAAAAGGGGACAGGGTAGGACTGGTGGACTGACTTAAGACTTTGAAGAAAGAAGCACAAGAGAAAATGCCATTGGGGTTAGGTGTCCAAATTCTAGAATYCGCCCTAGTGGGGTCTAAGACAACGTTATCAAGAATTGCAAGAAAGCTCGAAATACAGTCGAAGTCTGAATCCCTCAAATCCCTTCTTAGACTCAAGTTCCACCCAATCCCATTTAATAATGAATTTTACTCGAGCATATAATCTCAGCCCCATTTATATGCATATAATTTTATGGAGACATAAAGACAAATTTCTTTTATTGGTACAAGTCTTACGAATATTATGATTAAGTGAAAGAGGTTCAGATGTTAGCAACTCAGCATTACCGTCTTCTCGTCATCATCATCTAAGCCTTATCTCAACTATATGGGGTTGGCTACATAAATCTTGTTTTGCCATTCCATTCTGTTTACGCCATATCAATTGTTAAATTATGACCACTTATATCATTTTCTTACTACTTCAACCCATGTCCTTTTTGGTCTGCCCCTAGCCATTCTTGCCCCTTCAACTTGTAACTGGTCACTCTTTCATATGGGTGTTGTAGATGGTCTTTCGTGCATGTGATTGAACCATCTGACTCTACTTTCTCTCATTTTATCACCTATTGGATTGGACCTACTACTAGGTTCCTTCAAATGATTTCATTTCTGACCCTATCCTTTCTAGTTTTTGCACCCATCCATCTTAGCACGCATTTCTGCCAGTCATTTTTTGAACAATGTTTCTTGACTACCAAACACCCTACTCCATATTTGCTAACCTTACAATTGTTTTATAGAACTTTCCTTTTAATCTAAGTGGTATTTACCTAGCACATAAGGCTACAAATGCACCCTTCCATTTTGTCCATCCTGCTCTAATTCTATGGGCAACATCCTCCTCAATCTCTCCCTTGTTATGAATTATGGAATCAAGGTAACAGAAAAGGTTACATTGAGTTATCTCTTGATCTCCAATCCTAAGTTGCATATATTCAGCTTGACTCCTGCTTATTTTAAAACCTCTTGTTTCTAAGGTATTCTTCCATAAAATTAATTTTGCATTTAATACTTCATTAGTTTCATCAATTAAAAGTTTAGAACAATGTCCTTGGCAAACAACAAGCACAATGGAACCTTATCCTAAATATGTTTAGTCAATTCATCTATGATCAGTGCAAATAAATAAGGGGCAACTGCTGCCCCCTGGTGAAGACCCATTGTTTTAATCGGCTACCAACCTGATGCAACCTTCCTCCTTTATCTAGTTTTGAGACTGGCAGTGTAAAATAAGTTCACACTAGTGAAGTTATGTCACTGAAATCTCATCAACTAAATTTGGTTTTATGTTCTTCATGCCCAATTTGGTTTATTCATAAGGAGCAGAATCTTATAAATTTTGGGCACAAGAGTAGTTGGAGGAATCAGGAAGATTGAAGGGCTGATCTTTTTCTAGCCATCCATTGTGACGGATTTTGGAAGGCTTATGTTATGATCATTTTTCTAATGAATGACAGTATTATTTTGCAATCCTTGGATGTTGTATAGGCTGTATACATTGTACATGAGTTATATTATCACGGACCATGTGGGCTTTATACATGGGACCCATGGTCCAGTTTTTGACGTGTAATTATTAGTACAGTACTAACACTTACCTATCAAAAAAATAATTAACTACCTTTACATGCTATGAAGGTCTTGACAAGGTATGACTTGAGCCACTCCAATGGCACAAGAGCACAGTATGTGTGCTTATATTAGGTGGATCACTAAGGTGGTCCAAGGAGGATGGACCAAAACACAATGCTAATCCATGTAGGGGCCTAACACAAACAGGTTAAACAAAGGTTTTGTGGTCAGCACAATTTTTTTTATCCTTTTGCCTTCTGTGGCAGTATAGCCAACCACATATAGTTGGAACAAATCTTAGTTGAGTTTCCTTATTCATACCACCTGTGGATCTGACAGTTCAATGTAAGAGCTTGTTCCATCCACTGCATTTCTCTCGTTAGAATTCACACCATCCATATTGTTAATTGCATCCAGATAGTTAAGTCCTATTTGAGACAAAAATCTTCTAAAACTAATGCTGAACTTTTAGTATTGCAGATTAAATTCCTTAAAGAATGTTTACAGAAAGAGCTCTCCATATAAATTTTCAAGGACTTGGTAAATATGGGATTTTGTCAAACCCTACAATCTGGGTTTTTGTTTAATCCTGGATTTGCTTTCCATTCCCTTTCAGACGTGTTTGAAAGTTCAAACTATTTTCAAGCGCTTAAGTGCTTCTGGGCCTTGGTTTTGGACAACACTTTTTCTATTTGAAAAGAACTAGTTTGTAATTTTCAAACCAGCATACTTGAATTCAATCCAACTCAGATTGGACATCAGGCTGGATCACTTTTTCTATTTCTAATATTTGATTTAGCATCAGGATTTCAGCCCCTTTGAGCTAGGCTAGGTTTGGAAAGACAAGGATTGTGCCACACCCATAAAGGCCCCACCTAGGGGTATGCACACTTGTTTAAGCTGATTGAATGATTTTAATCATTTAGTCATTTTTCTTGGTCTATTAGAAAGTGGTGGGAACCCCAACCCCAGAGAAAAATACTTTTTTTTTTCTCTTGCATTTTGCCATGAGTAGTATTTCTTTTTGGTCTAAAAGAGATGTGGTTTAGAAGGTTTTGATATCTTGGTGTTTATTTGCTGTTATATTGCAATAAGTTGCCACAACAGCATTTTTGCATAAATGGGCGAGAACTGTATTTGGTTATGCCCATCTATGCAGAAATGCCAATGCATTACTCTAGATTATTATGCAAGGGGCTGATAGTAGAAAGATCAATTTGATGTTTTCTCAATCAAGAGGCTCTGCTTAAATGCCTTCTATAGCGTGGCACATTAGGAAATGAAGAAATGGAGTACTTTCCTGAATTCCATTCTGAGCGCAACAAATTTATTTAATAAAATATAAAACTTTAAATGAAAAATGTCGTAGCATTAGAGGGTGTTTGTGTTTCTGATTATGTTTAATACAATGGCAGATAAATGCTATGGAACACATTCTTAGATTGTCCCACTTATTACTAACAGTTGTCACATACTAGCTCTACCTTTTTCCTCAAACGTTTTGGTTCTATCTAGTACTTATATTTTTTGTGAATTTTCAGATGATTGAGGTTGATATTCCACAATCTTTGTTTGAGGAACAAGGCAGACAACTTTATGGAGCAAAACTTTTACAGATACAGGTCTGAACTGAAGTTACAAATTAAAAATTGAAGCTTTCATTCGAAGGTTTTAAAATTGGATTCCTTGCTCCAAAGGAGTTTTATACTGCAGATTGCAGGATTCATGGTTTTAGAACCTGCAGGCAATTTGATATTATTATTTTTTTTCCAATTCATGATCTTATATATTCTTTCTGATTTTTGGGCGTCCTGTGAACAGGCAAATATGAAGCTTGATCAAAAGCAGTTAGCTTCTCTTTCAAGCCCAAAAGCAGTAAATGAGTATCTGGAAAGCCAGAGGGAGAATATAATAAATGTGATAAAACAGAATCTGGCTGTAGGAGATATATTCCAGCGCGAAAATTTGCAGGTGGATCTCTTCTGTTAAAATGTAATCTTCACTGTTTACAATCACATTCCATGTATAACACTGTTTTTTTATCTCACATGCTTGATCTTGTTGCAGTATTCAACAGATGAGCTTGTCAAAGAGGTTGAGAATTCCATTGCCGAATTTAAACGCCATAAGCAAGAATATGACGAGGAGCGAGTAAGAGAACAGGTTAGTATGATTCATTCTACTGAATATTGTAAAGGGGCATTTGTCATCGTTATGAAATGTGTTCCTTAGATCCCATTATGTGATGCATGTCTTATTGGCATCCAGGATAAAAGTAGTGAGATGATTAGTACAAATGGGTTATTGATTCTATTATTCTATATGACATAGATACCAGTTGTAACGCAAGAGCCATATTTCAAATTGTGTAGGTGCAAGAAATCTTAGAGGGTGCGAAGGTTCTTGAATGGTTGAAGGAACATGCAGGCATTCAGTATGTAACCAGATGAGAGGGAGATCTGAGTGGTAAGATGCTTATGATAGGGCTTTCGGAACAGCAATGAGGCTCCAGAGTCCCCACCCACTTCCCCTTTTGAATGTAGGCCTATTCACAGGCCCATCTTTTGGTTCATGGGCAAGGGCAACACAAACTACCCTTAGTCTATAGTTGTTTACTGTTTACTGAGAAAGGAGAGAGAAATTGATCAAAATTTCTAACCCATGACAATCTTCTTTTTCCATTTGTAGGTGGGTCAGATTCACATTTATGATGCATATTGGTTGATGTCGTTATTTCATCGTTTTTTTATTTTAGCTTCTACTTTTGTGTGATAAGAAGGAATGCTTGTGGGTTGTGGCATGACAGGTCGTTAGAAGCAGTGAGAATAATAAATGTTGGTCGACCCATTTAACATATTCTCTCCCACAGAAATATATCTTTTATTCTCTCCCAGTCCCACCCATCCGACATTGATGCCATTGTTTCTGTGTATCTGCAGCCGGTCGGCTGATGTTATAATAGCATAAAAACAAAACAGAATATATTATAATACAAAAATGCATCTTAGACAAAACAAACCAAACCAAACATGTTTGCATTCCCTAACGCCCTCTTCAACGCTGTTCCTGGATTAATTTCTGTCCTTTTCTTTGGACTCGTAAATGAAAGCCAAGTCACCAAATCTGCTTTTTTTATCCCTCCTCCCGCCTCCCGTTGCCCCAAGCCCACACCCATACACATTTTGGAACTACATTGGTGTGACTGTGGCGAATAAGAGAGAGAATTGATTGCCCCTCAGCTTGATGATCTGTCGAGTTTGAATTACATCTCAACTCAACGGGAGGACAAATAGAGTCCCCCCCACTCCCCACGTTTCCAATGTATTGTTGTTTCTCACGCGGTAGCTTATTATGATTTTCGGTGTAAATATAGATCAATGTAAAATTTCATTCTCGGTTTGTATTTATCGGTGTTTGGATGAAGTGTAATTTTACATTGACTGATAGAGTTTTAACATCATTAATCAATGCAAATACAATATCGACAAAAGGATTATCGATATACTTTTACATCAATAAAGTTCTATATCTCTGAAATTCCAGAGAACCTAACCAGTTTCAATCAAAGTCCATTTTCTACGAAAGCTTATGACAATTACTTCCCTTGTATGCTTGCCACCGAGTCCAAGAGAATTAAATGCCAAACTTTTGGAAGAAATGGACTTCGATTGAAACTGATTCGGTTCTCTCTCTCTCTCTCTCTTGATAACAAACCGTGACCATGAATGTTCCCATCATGCTTCAACTACCCTTTGCCTTTGGAAGAAAGAGAAAGAAGGAACGGGGAGAGCAATCCATGGGAAGGTAGCAATAAAGACAAAACTGATCCTTAATCTACAGCGTTAATTCTTCTCAGACGTCAGACGTATTCTTGCATCCGCCCCTTGGCTTGGACGGTTATAATCCAGAAACTTCACTTCACTTTCACGGTTTCACTTGCACAAGTAATTGTCAATCAACCTCTAATTGTCCCAGAGCGTTCAATTACACAACAACTCAAGATTCAAGCCACTTACTGTATTATAAGAAAGAAAAAACTAAAATGACAGATCCATCAGATTTGACACAACCGGAATTGGAGGGCTACGATACAGAAAAGTATTGATAAAAAGAGATCGTGGGCCATCCATCACTCTGTCACTTAGCTTCTTCCTTTCTATCCGACTTTGGATAAGCACCAGGAATCCTCAACTCTCAAGGACACGTTAGCCACTGATACATTCATTCAGCCAGGGCCACGACCAACCACACCAAATCTCACCACTCACCACTTCCGAATTCTGATGAAAGAAAGAAAGAAACTAAAAAGAAACCGCCCTTTGCTTTGATTTTTACACCCAATTCAACAATTCAATTACAAACCCATGCCACTCAACACCATTGCCAAGTTCCCAGCTTTGAACCCATCAGCTTTCTTGGCAATATGACCTCCACAATAATAGCGAATCTCCGGCAACGGCAACGGCGACGGCGACGGCGACGGCGACGGCGACGGCTCAAACCCTGTCCACCGTTTTCTGGCCATAACGTCTCCCGTCTTTGATGCCTTCTTAGCCGGAACTGCATTCGTCGTACGCTTGTAAGAACCGAACCACTTCGCCTGCATATACCTACTTCTCCTCCACGGTGGGACGTGCATCTCATTACTCTTCATCGACTCTTTTGCAGCGGCACACATTAACTTCACCACCTGCTTCAGCTCGTCCTGCTCTCCAACGAAGATGGGTGGAAAGACCTCGAGCAAAGACAGGTAACGATTCGTCGGCCGAGCTATGGTGAATTCTCCGGAGAGGGCCGCTTCGACAATGTAACGGGTTCCGGCGAATATGACGTCGATGTATTCGTAGTCCCCCGCCGGGAAACGGCCGATTTTCTCCCACCGGGATTTGCAGAGACCTGACGTTGTTATGCTTTGTGAAATCAGTGCCAATTGACAATACAAAATAGAGGGTGCTAACATACGCTGCATGCATGGGTACATGAATGAAACGACAATTGAAATCGGAAAACCAATGCAGATGCCTACAGACGTACACTCATTGTGCTCTGCTCTGCAGACACCAGAAAAGGAAGAACTGCACTACTGCAGCGTAGTAGAACTGTGCAAACAGTACAGTGGTGGTAACTGGTAAAGTGGTAACGTACGCCGTGAAAGAAAGGCAGAAGTCGTGTAGGGATGCTTAATACGGTTCACTGAGCTCACGAATGGAATGCTGAGCCCAGTGCTGACACCAATTTAAACTGTATACAGATTCCGATGTTCTTGATTGATTGAAAACCATCTGAATGGTGTGAGCCATACAGTGTTTATCACTCATTGGCTCAGAAATTTTAAAAAGCTAACAAGTTTTTGAATTTGGATCATCTAGCTCTAGAGTTGAACACTGAAAAAGAAAATTAAAAGCAGAGTAAGGTTGTTCGGTGTGTTAATCACCTGCATCGAGACCTCTCTCCCGCAATCGACACATCAACTGACGTTTAAACCCTTCAGACGGCCTCGTTCCAAGAACTCGGCATGCGAGTTCCACTTCCTTACGGATCGTTCTCTTAACCTGCTCGTCTCCGTCCGACGAATCGCACCCTAGCAGGCCTTGCAATATGTCTTTAGTCTCGGTGTCCGACTGAAAACCGCTCTTCTCATTCTCATGCGCTTGCTCCTCATCTTCTTCTCCATCGACTCGGTCATCCGTCTCCATAAACGAGTCTATTAGATCGGATAAATCCGCCGAGTTCTCCGCCGAGTGCTCGCTACCGCTGCTGTCGCAAAGACGAGCCCGAGCCAAGTCGTCGAACGCCGCCGCAACTCTTTTAAACCTTACCGGAATCTTCGCCATGATTGACAGAGAAGCGTGCAAGAAATTTTCTGTTTTTCTGGAGATAATTCTTCTGCTTCTTTTGTTTTACGCAGACTGAATCTTCTGGTCTGGTCTTGTATATGTAAGCGGGTGGCCATGTCGACTCATCACGATGATGACACGATGGAGAGAGAGAGAGAGAGAGAGTAAACGACAAAAGCTCAAGAAACAGACAATCATCCAATCTTTTTGTATGGCCATGGGTCCCTCCCATCAAACGGTGGATAATGTTACAGGGAGTAATTCCGTTTGATAAACGGGGAATGAACCTGATCCGTTTTTGGCATATGATATCCATTAGAAGACGACGCCGTTTATCTGATGGTGTGGCTCTAGAGAGTAGAGCCAAGTATCCACTATCCACGCGTTTAAGTAAGGACATACATGACGTGGCGTCGAGGTTTTTTGTTATTTGTTCGTTAGGTGAGTGAGGAGTGAGGAACTCCTGAACTCGACATGCTCAAAGCTGACGTGGATGGGAAGCTTGTGAGTTGTGGCCTGGTACATCCACGTGGGCGCTAACGTGCCACGTAATTCACTTTAGTAGTTATAGGTTGTTAGAACATGAAGAGATCGTTAGAGCGTCCAGATTCAATGAACCCATTATTGTGTCCAGATTAATTGAACTCGAACCACGTTGTTCTTCTGAACAAAATCGTCTTTTGAATTTTGGTAAAAATCCAACGAGTTTCCGTTTGATATCCTATTGCGCGTCATCTTTTTCTATAAAAGAAAAGAAGTTTTATTGATTCCTCTACTTCACAAACTTTTGTGAGTGAATTAGAAATCTGAATGTTCATTTCGATGAATGAAAGAACAAAAAGGTAAAACTCAATTGATGGAGCCTATGGGTCTAAAATTTTAGCCAACCATTGGAATCATTTTAATTTGACAATCTATTGATGTAATTTTTTATGGAAAAAATCAATCGATGGAAAGGTTTATTTTGATTTTCGATATAAACCTGAAAACAAATACAAGAAAATATAGATCGAGAGTGGAGTTTTATATGCGAATAGATGGTGGAGTTTTACGTTAATTCACATTTACACTAAAAACAAATATGATCTTAAAATTATTACATCAGTAAAAAAAAAAAAAAATGTTCTATGTTTTTATTTTGAGAACAAAAAATTAGTTGGTTTTATTTCAAAAAACAATGCATGTTTTTGAAATTATCAAAATGATGGCTTTTAAAAGAAAAACAACAATGGATTTGAAATAAAATGAGAAATGTTGTATGATTTAAAACAAACAAAAAAAAAAAAAGTTTTCCAACAAAAAAAGGTTTGAAATAAAACATGTTTTTCAAACCATAAATTCAAGAACGTTTTTATGTTCTGTTTTTTCAATCTTAGAAACAAAATACACATTTACCGCCAAGAAAAGAACATGTTTTTCATGTTTTTTGTGTTAAGAAAGGGTCGGTTTTCAAATCAAATGGTTTTGATTTTTTTTTTTAACCTGAAAAACAATTACAATTGACATTAAAGAACACCCTCTAAAAGGACAAGGTAATAAATGGAGTCATACAAAAAATCTAAGAATAGCTCCAATTTGTATTAAAATGAGAAAAAAGAGACTGAAATTGTTTGACCAAGGTTTAAAATTTCTTTACGTATCAGCCAATATTGACTGATACATATCGTATCTTTGAGGTTCTGGTATTGGGAACGGTACCAAATCCTTAGTACCCTTCCTTTTGGTCATGTTGGAAGTGTATCATTCCCGTATTAGTAGTGTTTCGGTGAGTATCAGCCTGTTTGGGTGTTGTATCGGCATACCGACTGATACAATGCGATTTTATTATTGTCGGAAAATGAAAAAAAAAAAACTTCATTCAAAGTAGGGCTTCTAAACCCACTTCAGAAGCCCTCTTTTTTCCCCCAAACCATCTAGAAACCTTCATACCATTCGTAGAGATTGAAATCTAGACAAAATCCACCGAAACATCTACAAATTTGCAAGATCCAACAAGTTTTTCGAGATTGTTAAAAAATCACCGAAAATATGTTTTCCCTTTTTTTTTTTTACAATCTCAGCCAATGTTTTTGTGTTTTTTAGTTTGGATGCTTAAAAAAATCTTTGTGTATGTTGATATGCTATTCTTGTACAAAAAATCCCACTTATTTTGCTCCTATATGTAGATCTTTGTGAATATTTGAAGAAATTACAGAATAGTAAAAAATCTGAAAGAAATGAAAATTTTAGGTTTTTCTTGTTATCTACCTCTAAAAATTGACTATGTCATAGATCTATGCATGACCTATCATGTCCATAGATCAATTAAAATTTCTTGCAAATAATTGATTTTTTTATTTTTTTTAATTTTTAAATTTTCAAAATAATATATAAATAATTTCTTCAATTTTATGTGATCTAACCCTATACATTGAGTATGTTGTAGAGCTAAGACTGACATCAATATATTGAAATATCATGTGAAAATTTTAATTTGTTTTTTTTATTTTTAGATTATAAATATTTATTTATTTCTCTAATTTTTTGCTATTATTTAAATTCTAATAATAAATATTTACAGTAAATATATGGGTGGTCCATTATGTCCATAAACCCAATCAATTTTATTTGTCATATATTTACTTTTTAAATTTTAGTTTAACTTTTAGAATGAAACATGCAAAATAATTATTTGAATAAAAATAAATGATTATTTAGTTTTTGGAATGAAACATGCAAAATAAGTATTTCATATATTATGTCCATAAATCCATTCAATTTTCTGTTACACATTTACTTTTTTTAATTTTAATTTAATTTTTAGAATAAAATATGCAAAATAATTATTTGAATTAAAATAAATAATTATTTAATTTTTAGAATGAAACATGAAAAAATAATTATTAATTTTAGAATAGAAATAATATATGTCCATGGAGCCATTCAAAAAAATATTTGTTTAATTTTTAGAATGAAACATGAAAAGTAATTATTTGAATAAAAATAAATAATTATTTAAAAAATACAGAAAAAAAATTGTTTGATTCAACAATTACAAATTTTACATAATTATTTGATTCAATAATTGTTAATTGTTTAATTGGATTAGATAATAACACGTGGAAAATATTTAAAACAATTAAAAAGAATTTTTAGTAATATTTAAAAATATTTAAAAAATGCAGAATAAAAGGCATTGATATATTTCACATGATAATCTATAATTTGAATGTCAACATAATTTTGGCCTCAAAAATATGAAAGCGATTATTATTTGTTTAATTGGATACTTGTATTAGATAATAATTGAAAAAAAAATATTTAAAAAATTTCATAATAACAATCGAAAATTAGTTTACTAACACATTAACACTTAAAATTGGATAATTTAGATAATAATTGAATTTTTATGTGATTCATGTAAAGTTGTATTTAGTGATATTGATGTTTATTTATGATTTACTAGAATATTTATAGCATTTCCATGTATTTCCATGCGTATCTTAATATTCCGTCCATATCCATGCATATCCAAGGCGTATCCCAATATGTCTCTTAAATTTGCCTTTATAATATGAGTTTTCGATACTTTGAACCTTGGGTTTGACCATATGCATTAAAAACCACCTATGACACCTGTCAAAGGAAATGATCTCTTACAAGTTGAAGAAACCTGAATAATGAGGGGCAGACTTCAAGGGGGAAAAAAATAACAATGAAAGTAGTAATAAATCATTTAAGTGCCCATAATTTAACAATGAAAATGGCATTGAAGAGAACTAAATGGCCAAACAAGATTTATGTAACCAACCCTATATGGTTGGAACAACGTTTAATGATGATTATGAATCGGAGGATTTCATTGAGAAATCTCAAATGCAAGCATCTAGTCAACCACCAACCACCATGGATAAGTATATAAACTAGGGCAAGTTGAAGACGTGGTGTGCAACCATTAACCATACATTCATAATGCAGACGGATAGTAGAGTTGAACGCCTTAACTAATCGTGACAAGAGTCGCCCATGTGGCCATTCTGACGGTTTTGGTTCGAATCCTTTCAAGGGATAAGAATTGGGATCTGCTCCATACACCCGCTTTCCAGTTACATTCCACCATGTATTGAGAACATCTCTCATGAATAATAACATATAAATATGAAAAATGTTCCTGATGTACGGCTGAAACATGCTATGAGGTTGGTGTGAGAAACGCGCTGTGTGAACTCCTCAATATAACCAGAGGACACTGAACCGGCCAATTCACCAACTGACGTGGTGTTTCATGATAGTCGGATGATAAGAGTAGATCTGCAGAGGATTTTGAGCACTGTTCGAAGTGGAAACTGCAAAACCATTTAAATTTGGATTTTCAGTAGCACGAGTCACAGACAATTTGATCCTTCAATCAATCAGTTAACAATTATAATTAAAAGGATGGATCGTCATATTAAACAATGAGAATCATAGGACATAGGAAAACCTCAGCCACTCATTTAAACCATGCCGATACGATCGAGTGGGGTTGGCCGGTTATAATTCCTTCTCATAACATAAGCTCTACCGTGTTTTCTACAGTCTATCATTTGCCTAATAGAAATTTTTTACCCTATGATTCTCCAAAATTAGTATAACATTTTCCTTAAGCCCAGTTCTCTTTTCAGTGAGTTATTTATGTATTTATCCGGGTAAATGTCTTTTGGAAAATATTTAGTCGGGTAAGCACATTTAATCATGTTTTTTTATTTCTAAAGTAAATAAGACAATGATTGTTATAGTCATAAGTATTGACAATTTTTCCTTCATATGGGAAAGTTACTTATCCAATTGGGAGGAGATGAGTATCACCACATAAATCTGAGGAGGAAAAAAAAACATGGATATCTTAACTAATGGGAACCAAAATCCCATTGATCAATTTTATCTTCTTTCAGAATCAAAAAAAAAAAAAAAAACGAACAGGCCCTAAAAGAAATGGCAAAAGGCTAAATCGTGGGACAAGTTTAAAGCCCTATTCAAGTCTACAGACCCAAGACCTTTTTCTCTTATCATTTATTTTCTGCTTTTCAACTATTAAAAGCTGGGAGACTTTTAACTAGCATCACCTGAGCAGAGGCCATGTCTAATTTTTACAGATGAATGAATTATATAGTAAAGTGGCTTTTGAGTATGTATTGTATGTCTTAAATGATAACTTGATACATGCTGCCACAGACAAATGTGTTGTTGCAAACAGACAGCAAGCAGAACTGAAGGCAGTGAACGAAGCTCTAAAGATTGCTAAAAGCTTGGGACAGAAAAGATTGATAAAAGCTCCAAAGATCACACCGGTGGATACACAGAAGAACTGGGTTGACCAGATACACAGGGGCAGTCTAAATAATTTAGTTAATGATATGGAAGACATTCAATTCATATAAATAGGGAAGGAACTTAACAGTTTAGCTTGGAAAGCGTGTTATGATTAAAAAGAAAGCCAGATGTGCAAATGGATATTTCTTTCCACGTGGCAAGCATAGCACAAACATCACCATAAGTTCTCTAACACGCACAGACACAAAAGAAGCCCCCCTGCAAGTCTAATAGCCTATGCATGCAATTGTTTGTATGCATATTTCTACCCTCAGACGTACATGAGTTTTACATAACATTAATGGTCCCTTTATTTTAAGTTTGATAAGAAGTTGGTCAACTTTTTTATACTTTCCTCAGATAAGCGAAAGATCCACGGTAACGGCACTTTTTTTTTGGATAAATTTTTTGATCATTTATCTAAAAAATTCTTATCCTTTTCTCGGATAAGTTATTTCTCCACCTAAAAGGAAAGAATTAAAATTAATGAAACAAAAATATCCCTTATACAGAAGTTAAAAACCAAAAAAAGAAAAGAGACTTACCTGAAATCTGAATAAGTAACTTAACCGAAAAATGAACAGGGCTTAAGTTTTTGATAACCCACCATGCCAAAGCTTGTACGCTTTTGACCGATCACCCATGAATGGACTAGTGCATTCCTGATTTTTTACCCCATGGCCTATGCAGTGCACCGCCTGAGTTTGAAAAGACAGAAATTACAAGGAGTTAGCGACTGAGGGGAAAGAGAGAGAATAGAAAGGATGCCGGAAAGAGAGAGTGAGACTATAAAGGATGCCTAAGATGTGATGCCAATAGAGATTTTTTATTTGCAATTGTGCAATTCCCAGGCCGCTAGATCCAAGGTTCAAAGTATCGATAGATATCGGCCAATATATTGTTCTGAAACCCCACCAATACGCCCCTATAGTGGGTGTATGGGGAGTCTGACCGCTTCAGGGGGTAGAAGAGCCCTAAACTGACCCCCTGAACCGGTTTCAGAAAAAAAAAATAAAAAAAATAATAACGATTCGCCCGATACACCCATACTAGCATATTGGGCATATCGATATTTTGAACCTTAGCTGGATCACCCACACTGTTGAAATGACGCGTGATTGAATAAACCTTTCATTTGTCGTAGTTTGGCATTCCATACAAACAGAGGTCCATTGTATTAAGCATCCTACTAAGATTATATATTAAGTATGAGCCTGTCTCAATCTGTATATTTACAATACAAAAATACCAGCTTCATTATATTTGTTTTTGTACTTGGCACATACTATAATTAATAGCTAAACAAAAGCCCCTTCCAGTATAATCATCTCGTACAGAGAAAAAAGACAATCAGTGACTGAGATGTTGCACTTCCACAACACTTGACACCCAAAACATGGCATAATGTGGGGGAGGATTTAAACTTTTAATATTCAAATCTGACACACAAACAGGGGTAACCTTTTTTCCCTCCATTTCTCGTACCCAAATTTTATTATGCAAGCTCGTTGATTGGGGCTCTTCTTCTTTATAAAGGATGATACTGCCAAAAAGGTACAAAATTAGGAGCCATCCATTGTGGTATCATTCCCATTCGGAAGGCTGCTGCCTATATCAAGCATTTTCTTTTCATTCAGACCAGCTCCAAATGTGAACTCATGAGGAGGAATATTCAAGGCTGGACGGTCAAAAATGAATGTTGTAGTAGTCATGTTGAAAGTAGGCACAGGAACAGGGTCAATAGTCTTTGGGAAGTTGAAAGCCAGTTGTGATGAATAGCACAGAGGGAAAACTGGCAGGGTTGGGGCATTCTCAATTGCTCCAAATATTTTCTGCTCATATTCCTGCAACTGCTGGTGTACAGCTACAATTCACAGACAGAGATGTCAGAACTCGGGAACAATACATAATATAAATGAAAATAATAATAATAACAATAACAATAATAATAATAATAATAATAATAATAATAATAATTAAGCTTCAAGGTGACGGTGACTGAAAATCATGCAAGATGGGGCTGCTAATTGAACATGTCCCACCAACATGAACAAAGGATCTAAACCATGGATGTATTATGTTGTTATGGAAATAAAGTCAAACAGAAAATAACATATCAAGAGAATAACCATAGTACAAGTAAGGTTTAAAGTATCGGAAATGCAAGGTGTATTGGAAAGACAATTTTAAGAAATGTATCAGGATACGTTTTAGATATGCAAAGATACAGACGAAAAATCAAGATACGCATAAATATAATAAGAAATTCAAATAAATCATAAAAAATATATTAGTAACAATACTTACAAGTTTTATATGATTGTAAATAAGTTATTTAAATGTAAAAAAACATAATTTAATGTTTATATAAAATGTGACATAACAAGATATAATTAATAACCATTGAAAAATGATGGGATAACTAAAATGTGAAAAAAGCAAAAAAAAAAAAAAAAAAAAAACTAAAATGTGAATGTATACACATCAACTTTCAAATAATCAATATAATTTATCTTAATATTTATTAGTATATAAATTTTAATAATTAATTTCAGCATTTATTAATAAGCACCACTAAGAAAAGATGAAATTTACTTAAAACTAAAAATGTATATAATTATAACAAACAAATCGGAGTGGCTTAGTGGCAAAGTTATGGGTGTCAAAATCTAGTGACCAAGGTTCAAGTCTTGCTATTGTTAATATTTGTAGATACTAACAAAACAAAATTAATGAGAGAGAGATAAATATAGGACTAATTAATGGCAGAAATGGAATTAAGCGCTAAAATTCAAATTTGAATTTAAATTTGCTTTAAATATAGGACTAATTAATGGAGAAATTAGACATAAATATAAGAGTATGAAACTACATTAATGAGAGAGATTCGGTATTAAATATACATTAACCAAATTAATGGAAGAAGGGGAACCGAAACGATTCGGTTTGTATCGGCCTGTTTCGGGCTCATATCATCCAATACATATCTGAAACAGACCGATACGGGCTTGTATCGGCTGATACATACATACAAAAAAAAAAAAAAAAAAAAAAACGGAACAGATAATTTATACACGTTCCATGTATCAGGTTTTTATCGGAACTGTACCTATCGGCCAATACGTTACGATATTTTAAACCTTGAGTACAAGTGGTGGATCCCACAACTTTTCTATTACATGTATAAAGACATGACATCTCAGGCTGTCCCAAACCTCAATGGCTCATCAGACTTCGGGATCTCCTAAGTCCTAACATAGTTGTCAAGGACTCGAGGCATGGCCTTGGCACCAGCCTCAGCATCACCTCAGTGCCCTTGTAGAGGCAGTAGGCACCTTACTCTAAATGTAAGAGTTAAAAAAGCTATCCATGTAGGCAACAAAGTGACCACTTGGGAGGAAAAAAAAAACAAAACAAGGGGTGGACACCTTATTATAATATATCACTACAGATGCATCTTATTGGTAGTGTTAATTGATATTATCATTACGTGTGTGTGTGTGTGTGCATTTGTTGCTTTTGTTTTATTCTAGCATTTTATGATATGAAGGATCCAAAAGTTCTGAGGGAGGGAGGGAGGGAAGAGAAAGAGAGAGAGAGAGAGAGAGAGAGAGAGAGAGAACATTTTTGTCTTTTTCTTTTATTTTCCTTCTTTTTTTTTGGTGTAGTTATCCATGTTTTATTACTAAAAAGTACAGTCTCTAGTTGCTAGTAACTTCTTGACAGGAAATTGCATTATTAAATACTTATTATACTCTAATATTGAGTACAAAATGTCATAGTAGTATGTTCAAAATGCTATTACTTTATTCAGGGTATGAAGTTTTACCATGTCTTCATGTGAAACTCATTATTATCTAACAAAAAGAATTACTATTTTCAATTTATATGCTTGCTGGATAGTATATAGAACTAGAGGTTAACCTAGAATAAAGCTTTTTTTTATCTTATTCCATATCTTAGGTGCCTAGGTGACTACACACTCTAACTGTTACATCTTGGCAACTATGACTTCCACTTACATTTACTCGGTGAAACTCAACTAAAAAGGTAATACCCACATCATGATATGTCACAAAGTGTAAGGCATTGACGCTGAGAGCCTTGACAATTTCTGAAAGTTGCATTCTCTACATAAAGATCATCTCTATTTAGTGAGATCGATTTGAAAAGCTTTCAGTGTGGAATGCAGAGCCAAATCCAACCGAATCAGGATGTTGAAGTCAAATTACCCAAATAGTTACTGCCTTGTTCAGAATAAGCTCTGAGGTTAGCAAGCTCTGATATTTATTTACATTGTTTTTACCAGAGATAGTGAAAGAATGAAAGACAAGTTACATATAAAGATTTCCATTCCTTAGTGATTAGACAGGCAACAATAAAGTATTTCTGTACCCCAAAAAATAAGGCACTCAAGTATTTCTGCGTTCACAGACATGCACATACACAGTTGGTATGTAATTTCCACCTTTTAATAGGGGTGAAAGTTGGGTACCTGATTTGAAAATTTTACACTGCATCAGGCCCAGGTTTCTGGACCGGGTCCATTCAAATTTTAGAACATCCCAACTCAAGCCCGCCCAAGTTGCACCCCTACCTTTTAAATTATTCCTTAGCAATGACTATCTTTTCTAAAAAAAAAAAAAATCAAAACTATCACTCGGCTTGGACACCAAAGCTGCAGCTATCAGCTCAGTATTTTCAGTTTTTAATGTTAGAACCAGGGATGCCTTTGTAGGTAGTGCTGTCTTTCTATAGTAACCAGTATGCTGGTTTAACTCTAATTGGCGTACTAGTCCTACTGTTTTTTTTTTTTTTTGGTCTATACAGTTTCTGCACTACTCTAATTGATTGCTTGTTAAGGTGGTTAGATGCCATAATTTGTTTAATGTCTTCTAGCCCCTAAAGCATGTTACCATCCTTCACAGACAATAGTAGTAACAATAACAATAGTAATAATGATAATGATAATAACAGTAGTAATAATGAAAGTAGTGCGCTTCTGCAATCCTGTTTTTGGTTCCATAATTCCATTTCCAGCCTTATGAATATATCATAGAGAAATAAGTCAGTATGCTGAAGTGTATAAAAACCTGATGTTAAATCAACAGATGGCCTTCGATCTTTCACCCACTGATAGCTTTGAGCAAGTCTCCATCCTTTACATTTCATCAAGTATGCTATTACAATAGCAGGTGACCTGTAATAGCCTGCATAATGATAATTCTGCTAAACAAGAATAAGCAATCAAGATCACGTCACCCAAGAATGATAAGAATTGACCTATTTTTCCCTGACATGCAGTGCACAAGAACACGGGCCTTGTCTTTTTCACATTGCTCTGTACAAACCAAAGAGTTTAATTAGAATATATGTTAACACATGCTCTCCAAGAAAATCAAATATAATACTGGCCAACAGGGATAAGGCTACATGCCAACAACTACAATGCTACAGAATGGGGAAGGAGTAAAAATATGCCCAGATGTTTTTCCTTTTCAATCAGAAAATATTCTCATATGTTTCACTTTGAAACTAAAAATGGACAGACATCAGAACATGAACATTATCTAGTTTACCCACTAAAAAGACCAAAAGCATGGGATTGTAAAGTTATTTAATCATTAATTACAAAACAAAGAAAGAAATAAAGAAACCATTTAACGGGATTAAGAAAATATCAAGTCTGATGGGGAACCAAAGATATGATCCACTTCACTAACCACCTATGAGGATTGCAATTCATTGCTCATGCACTTCAAGAAATTTTTAATCACAACATAGTATCAACATGTTTTTAAGTAGACTGGCAAGATAAATGGTGGGTAGACATGTAAAATAAACACACATATTGAATTTCACTAGCACATATGTGCTTTGATGCATTAAATTTCACTACCATTTTAGCATAAAGCAATTCACTACCATGTGTATGAATGCTTCTAATAAACTATAAAGGAGAAAGTCTTTGGTTTAATGATGGGAGTAAGGTTCCAAATGTGGACATGAGCCCAAGTCTCACAGCCCTTAATCTGTTTCTCACCAAAGACAACCAGTGTTTTAGGGACAGATCTGGACTGCTAGGTCAAACTGGGTTGTACCAGGATCAAACATGCCACTATAAGGTTCTATCACTAATTTGAGCTACTTTCAAGTTTCAAACCATAATCCCGTTATTGTAAGCCATTCCTCATCTAACCAGCTTGTCTCTCTTTGTTATGTTCACTTGGTTTCTCATGATCAGATCATAGGTTGATGGTTCGATTCCAAAGGCTCAACTTGAGTAATCTCCCCCAATCCTGCCTATTTCTTCAGATGGGATAAATATTTGGCTCATCCAAACTGTCCACCAAACAAGAATTTAATGGATAAGCCACAGTTCTGTCCATGTTAGCCCTACAATGCACACTTTGTGTTGTTTTCCTGGAGCAGTATTCACTATTACTACAGTTGCTATTTTTAATTTAAATAAAAGCCTAAAAAAGATATTATTCTGTATAGGTGGCAAGGGTTTGGAGGCTGGAATTAACCCATGAACAAAGGGTGACTAAAGAGATAAGTAGGCATTTCTATGATACATGGTACCTGTATACCCAATATGACACCAGATACCATATGGACACTAGATATACTCTGCAATATTCTTTTGAAATAGGTAAGCATGCCCATGTCACTTTCCATGTTCAATCTAGGAACTTGGGTTCCCTTGGGAACATAAAAGACTAAGAGGGTAGGTATCCAAGTTGTTTTTCTTCTTCACAACCTTAAAGGATATTTCATTTCCCCTGAGGTTAATAATAGTCAAATTTGGATGAATGAATCCAAAAGGGCTTTCTTCTATATCTTTCTTCAAGTTCCTATGTAGCAGAGCTTCATCCCTCTCCGTCTTTTTTTTTTCTTTTGAGAGAAGATAACTGAAATCATTAAGTATTCAAAAAGGGGGAGATGTACAAGCCTTTTAATAAGCACAACAAAATCAAAGAGACTGCCCTCTAGGAAGGCAGCGTATTCGAGCTATACAAAAAATCCCTTCCCAGCCCAGATTTAGCTAGATTATCAACACATGATTTAATTCTCTACAAATCCATCTAAAGCTCCAGTATAAATAAGAGGCAAGCTCCCTGATTTCTAACAACAGATGGGATAGTTTCCACGGGTCTAGAATCTGTCCCGAAGCCCAGTTAATAACCTTCCACTGCAATGCAGCTGAGCTGCTGTGATTTGGCAATTCTGAGGCCTTCCAGGAGGGCCCTTGCCTCGGCATCAGAAGCATCTTCTGCCTTGGCTGGACTACTATACGCCCAAATCAAATCTCCATTTGCTCTTTGAATCAGTCCTCCAATTCCAGCCTTTGATCTGTCAGTGGCTGATAAACCCCACTGCTGTGTGAAGGTTAGTGAGCTGTTTCGAGGGAGCTCGCCCTCCTGAAATGGATGAGAGGTAGGAGACGAGAGAGAGAGAGAGAGAGAGAGAGAGGAAGAAAGTAAGGAATATCTCAATGATTCTTTGCTTCACGTATTTCAGAAAATGGCCTATATAGCAAATGGCCAGCTGCCCTCTAACCGACTCTGACACTCTCAGTGCATGCTCTGAGTGCATAATCAATTTCACAAACGTGGTCATCGGTTATACACAAGGGTGATGGGTGGTGTCACTCGCGGGATCCTTGGACTGTTATGGACTGGCGCCTGGGCCTGATGGGCCTGGTCCGCACCATGTGGCTCTTCTCCTCCACTGGACCTAACATTCTCGTCTCCTTCAAGAATGACCTTGTCCTCAAGGTCAAGCATAGGGAACTGGTGATGCAATTGTTCATAATCTTCCCATGCGGCATCTTCCTGAGGTAAACCACACCACACGACAAGTGCTTGTTTAAAGACCTTACCATCCCTGCGAACCCAACGTAGATCTCTGATTATTAGAGGCTCAAACATCACCTCCCCTTCCTCTGTGAATTGCAGAAGGGTGGAACTGGTAACATCGGTGGAAGCCAGGCATGGCTTCAGGAGGCTGACGTGGAAGACGGGGTGCAGTTGGCACCCGACAGGTAAGTGGAGACGGTAAGCCACAAGCCCAATTCGCTCTGCCACCTGAAATGGGTCGAAGTACCTAGGAGACAGTTTCTGGGATGCCTTCTCGCCAGGGAGGTCTGTCTATAGGGTTGGAGCCACAGATAAACCCAATCTCCAACTGAGAACTCCAACTCTCGATGTTTCTTGTCATAGGCTAACTTCATTCGTTGCTGGGCCTGGTGTAGGTGGAATTTGAGGAGTTTAATAGTATTGTCCCGGGCTTGTAACTGTGTTTCCACCTCTCCAACAAATGAGGTACCCAGCTCATACGGAAGAATGGAAGGGAATTCATAACCGTATAACACCCTTAAAGGGTGTCGTCCCGGCTGAAACCTGGAACGTGGTGTTATACCAGTATTCAGCTCAGAGCAGCCACTGGGCCCACTGTTGGGCCTATCACCCACAAAGCACCTTAGGTACGTCTCCAAGCAACGGTTGACGATTTTGGATTGTCCATCCGTCTGTGGATGGTAGTTGGTAGAATGCAACATCTGAACCCCTTGAACTGTGAAATAAGCCTTCCAGAAGGCACTCATGAAGAGGGGGTCCCGATCCATTAATATGGAATGTGGTGTCCCGTGCGGTTTGGCTACCTCCCGGATGTAGGCTTGGGTCACTGTAGATGCTGAATAGGGACGTGAGAGGCTGATGAAGTGAGCATATTTACTGAGTCAATCCACCACCACCAACACCACTGATTTCCCTTGGGATGTGAGCAGTCTAGTTATAAAGTCCATACTGACTTCGTCCCATACCTGATCTGGAATAGGTAGAGGTTGCAACAACCTAGCCGGAGTCTGTGTGCTATATTTCTGCTGCTGGCAAATAGTACAACGGGCCACAAATTCTTGCACCATCTTTTTCATACCCTTCCAATAATAATGGGCTGCCAAGCGTTTGTAGGTGCGGAGAGCTCCAGAGTGTCCCCCTTGGGCCAAACTATGGAAGAGTTCAAGCAGCTCCTGGAGATGCTTGGATTCCCGAGAAACCACCATTCGGCCCTTGTAGAAGAGTATGTCGTTCCGGACAGTTAGCCTGGGACCCGTGTTGCATCCTCAATGATCTGGGCCCGTATTTGAACTAAGTGAGGATCATCATGGGCTTCCTGTTTCAATTGGGAAGATAACGGATATGTCAGTTGTGAAAGGTCCATCAAGCTAAACTCACCAGCTCTAGAGAGTGCATCTGCTATTGCATTAGAAGCCCCAGATTTGTATTTGATTGCAAAGTCAAATCCCATTAGTTTGTAGGCCCATTTATGCTGATCTGGGCCCAAAACTCGTTGCTCCAACAAATGTTTAATGTTGCGGTGGTCCATCCTGACAGTAAACCTTCGGCCCAATAGATAGGCCCGCCATCTTTGGACTGCCAAGGCAATGGCCATGAGCTCCTTCTCATAAGTGGACTTGGCTTGGGCCTAGGCTGAAAGGGCCTTGCTGAAATAGGCTAAGGGCCTCTGCCTTGTTGCATTAACACAGCTCCAATCCCCTTACCTGAGGCATCAGCCTCTACTACAAACTCCAAATCGAAGTTTGGAAGGACCAATGTTGGTGGTGTGGTTACTACGTCCTCGAGGGCCTGAAATGCTTCTTCAGCTTGTTGATCCCATACAAATGAGTGCTTCTTCAATAGCCATGTGAGGGGAGCGGCAAGAATTCCATACCCCTTAATGAACCGACAGTAATAACCCATCAGCCCAAGGCACCCCTTGAGAGCGCGTGGAGAGCTGGGGCGGGCCCAAGAAGTCATACAACTAATCTTCTCTGGGTCTGTGTAAACCTGTCCTCCAGAAATAATATGACCCAAGTAACTGACTTGAGTGAGCCCAAACAAGCATTTTGAAGACTTGCGAACAACTGATGCTGCCGTAGAAGGTCCAATACACACTGTAAATGTTCCAAATGGGAAGCCCAACTAGAGCTGTAGATGAGTATGTCATCGAAAAATACTAGGACAAATATGCACAGATAAGGCTTGAAAATCCTGTTCATGAGGTGCTAGAATGAAGAGGGAGCATTAGTCAGCCCAAAAGGCATCACTAGGAACTCAAACTGTCAGTCGGAGATCCTGAAAGCCGTTTTGTGAATGTCTTCGGGGTGGACCCGGATCTGGTGGTAACCTGATTGCAGATCCATCTTAGAGAAGTATTTAGCTCGGCCCAACTCATCAAATAGCTCCTCAATCAAGGGTATGGGATGCCTGTCCTTGACCGTGATGTGGTTCAAGGCCCTATAGTCCACATAGAACCTCCAGCTCCCATCCTTCTTTC